GGCGTTAAACGTGTAATATAAACCTTAGAAAAATATACCAAGCCAGGTGAATTTTAAGAGGAAGATCGAACTTACAAAAAAATGGCAATATCACATAGGCTGATTTTAACCATTTAGCTTTTCCTAATAAAATTCACCTGGCTCAGTATATTTTTCTTAAGTTTATATTACACTTCTAGCGCCAAGATAACATATTCTGAAATTTATTTTAACCTGTAAACGTTTACTGAATGTGATTTGTCTATATTTGTGCTTTCATTGAAATAATACTAATATTTTCCAGGTTTTTTTCATATTCCAGTTCTTCGGAGAAAAAAATCTAAGAACCATCAACTTTTCTAAACTTGTGACATGATATTTAATCTTTTTCAAAGAAAAAAATTGTTTGTATCATCTGTCCTTAAAAGAAGTGTAAATTAGGCTTGCTTTCAAGTGCTGATGTACATGCTTAATACCTTTCATGTCCCCGGATCGAATGATCCGGAGGGTATGTTTTTTTGTCCTGTCTGGCTGTTGTCAAACTACTGCACTGTCAAGTCTAAGGCCATGATATCTGACATGAGTATTCATTAAGGCGAGGTCGCCCGCGTGGCGCAGTGGTAAGAGCGTCTGCTCTAGAGTCGCCAAGTAAGGAGTCAATCTTTACGTCGCGGGTTCGAATCCCACTGCGGGACGTGGAGACCGGTCCTTCGGATGAGACCGTATAAACCGAGGCCCCGTGTCGCAGTAGGTGCTGGCACGATAAAGATCCCTCACTGCTCAAAGGCCCTGAGTGCCGAGCAAAGGACAAAATTTGTAGCCCTCCACCGGCAAGTGGTGGCGTCTCCATATGAGTGAAACAGTCTCGAGAGGGACGTCAAACAATGTACAATCAATCAATCAATCATTAAGGCGAGACATTTTCAATGGTAGAATTTTTTTTTATCTTCTGACCTCAACTGTGGTCTTTGTACTTTGAAAAAAAATAAAATTGATTATAACTATTTCACTGTAGCTCATGACTATTGCATCATCACAGGCAATGCTTTAATATTTTGGCATGTATGTTTTTCCTTTCAAAAGGTTTTGAGGGTACTTAACACAAACAGAAATTTGATGAATAGATTTGTTTTATTTTATATATTTTTTTGCCTGATTTTGATGTGAAATTACATAAATAATAAATCCTTAAAATCTAAAGAAATCTTTTTATATAATTCAATATCGAGTTTTGCACAATTTTTTAACCTCATGATGAAATCTTAAACAGTTCTTCCACTTTACTTGGCAAACATTATTCAGGTTACCAATTCAAATGTAAATCTAAGAGATATATTGCTGTTTTCTTGGGAAAAAGCTTGTTTATGTAATTTATCCTTACGTATTCTCACTTTTGCAACCCTTAACCTAAACATTTTTACAAAAGTTTTCTTGATTGAAAATATGTTGTTTAACGTCCATCTGGATGATTTTTCACTCAAATAGAGACACCACCATTTTCCGATGGAGACCTGCAAATTTTGTCCTATACTCGGCAATAACGTTCATTGAGCAGTGCGGGGTCTTTTTCTTGCCAGCACCTACTGCGACCTCAGTTTATAAGGTTGTATCCGAAGTACAGATCTTCACGTCCCTCAGTGGGATTCGAACCCGCAGTAGCATTAATGCCTTACCATATAACCCTAGAGCAGACACTCTAGCCAATGCCCACGCCGGCGACTTTTCATAAAAGAATATTTTTAAGAAATGTAAATTAAACTTTTTTACAGGTTTTTTCGAGAATTTCATTTTTTCTTTGCATGCTTTGGTAATTTTGCAGTATAATAAAAGTATACGCAGTGAAATTATTAGCAAATATTTGTGTTTCGTTTGTTTTAAGTACATTTCGGGAGTTGATACAGACTAGAGGTGCAAAGCTCTCGCTGATGGTGGGATTAACCAATGGAATGTACTGTGATGTCAACTTAAATTCCATTGATGTATCTCTCATTTCATTTCCGAGTTTACCCAGAGGCATTTCATCAAACCCTTTATCTAATTGATCAAATGATTCCATATAATTATTATGTAAATGAAACTTCAAGAAACACTTTCTAAGACTTTGATTGGAAATTTTCTTCCACGTTCTCTTGGTTATTGTTAGTGTCAGATTAAACATGGATTAATTTTTTTAACAGTTTTGGTCTGTAGTTGATGAGTTCTTTTTAGTGGTGAGTTCTGATTGAATTTCATATAGCTTGATAATTAGACACGTGCATCCATCTGTGCCCACATATCGCAAAGCAGTGACCATTCTTTAACCTTTAGCAAAACAATAAACTCTCTGTTCAATCTACTTTATTGATTTATATACCGTTCGGATTCAACATACATGTATATCTTTGTGCTATACACTTACAGTTTTTAGTTTTTTAAGAATCGAATTCAAGGGGAAATTTATAATATAACATCAAGTAATCTATTTTGTTTTACTTTATGCAATTGCTCGGTTACAAAGTCAACAGTGTTAGAAATAAACTCATGCAAAATAATTATACACATTTCAACGCACGCCACGTATTTAGCTTTCACGAGTCTCAAACTAAGATTATCAAGTCTTTCATCATGCATCAATTTCAAACTCATGAAAATGCTTCAGACAAATATCACATTCTGAAATGTTATTTCTACACACACATAAATGTTTATGTAACGGTTGATGGAAATCATATATTTACTAGTGTTTAAATTATGTTTACTCAATTGAACAATTGTTTAATTATGCATGCTTTATTTCTTCTGCAACATCTTGCATGGAGTTTATCTTTTCTGTAACTCTTGTTAAATTCTTTTGGTTCGCAATTCTTTTCTCCCGGTTTTCAAAGAGTTCCTTAATCTTTTCATCGATGAATTTTATTCTTCTTTGCAAAATAACATCGGCGATCATCGATATAATTCTATTCAATGGATCTCCGTAATTGCTTTCCATTGAATTGCTTATTCGGGATCGAAACATTAATTTACATTTTTCATATTCTTTCTTTATTTTTTTTTCTACTATCTCTGCCTAAATATGCAATGATTGAGCCCAAAAAGGTATAGAGAATACAGCAATAGCAAAGCTTGTTGCAAGAAGTGGAAACCATATTGGAGACGTTCCAATTAACCAAGCATAGTACATTCATTTTTGAAACAGAGTTGAACAGTTAAACTCGGGTCTGAAGAACTCGAATAAAATATTAAGAACCAGATGGGTTCACAAATTTGTAGTTTCTTTTTAATTACTAAAATATTCAATTGATACAAATTCAGGGAATTTGCCGAAACATTTTAATTATTTTTAAATTTCGAAAAATAGTTAAATAATTAATACATGTATGAATGTTGTTTAATCATAATAGCAATGGGTGTTTACTTTTCGGGGTGGGGGTTGGGTGGGGTGGTGGTTGTTATAGTTCATCATATCAATGCATATTATATAGTCCATCATATTTTGGGGGAGACAAATAACACCGATTAATTAACAGAATTTTTGCATCCGCTTAAATTTATTTATTTTACTTGTGAAAATTAAACAGCATTTTAAGGGAAACTTAGGCAGTTATATTTTCTGTCAGGATGTTTTATTCACTCTTCCTTTTGATAACAGAGCACAGAACACCTCTCTCATGTTTAAGAATATTCTAACAGGGAAAGAAAGTCTTAAGTTTTTGCTTCACTTCTGATAATCTGGCACATTGTCGCAGGATATCACTTTCATATCCTTTCATGCAATGGTAGAATATCACTTTGATTGAATCAACAATTTACAGTATTTCGCTGTTACGGACAGAAGATACAAACAAACTTTGGTAAAAAAAAAAACATTGAAAAAAAAACAACTTGAGTCATGTTTGAATGAGTAAAATGAAAAAGTTTAACCGCGTAGTTTTTCAAATTTTATTCAAATTCTCACAAAAATGGGATTTGAAGTGAAAAATATTTGTAAACATTATTAAGGATGGTTTCAGAGACATGGAATTTTGAACATCATAGAAGGTTTACAATTTCTTTATATTCTAAAAATTTATTTCTTACATCATTTTCAATAAAAGAGACCAAAAAATATATACCAAAACTTTATTTTCCTATACCCGATTAATCCGCAAATCTAGAAAACAAAAATCCCGTTTTACTGCTCTCTATGTTCTGAGCATTGAGCAATTCGACTTTCAAATTTATTCCGAAGCAAAAAAGTCTCCCAGTGTAAGAGATATTAGATATGTTTAATGGTACGTTACAATTGTAGATTTTAAAAAAACACAAAGAAATAACATTGCAACAAATCGTCTTGATTTATTAAAAATGACATTCTTCAGCAAATTAAGTGTTTGAAAAAAGTAGAACAATCAATTAGCAATAATCAACATATTATTTCAACGTATATGGCTTTCACAGTTTCAGATTCAAATCTTAAGTCTATTTCCTCATACATATCTTTTCAAATACTTCGGTTAAAGATTTTAATCCAATAATAACATTTTCACACATGAGTACAGTGTATATATGTTGCAAGTCTTGGAAACTTTAGAAGCATTTTTTTCGTTTTAGAATATTGTGTTACTCATCTTTACTAAGTTGAAGAGGTATTTAATGTTTGCTTTAGTTCTTCGGCAGCTTCTTTAATAGACTTGATCTGTTCTGAAAGACTATTTAAACTCTTTTGGTTTGCAATAATTTTTTCCCGGTTTTCAGAGAGTTCTTTGATAGTTTCTTCGATGAATTTTATCCTTCTTTGCAGAAGAACGTCGGTGATCTTTGATATCAATTTATTCAATGCATCACCGTGATTTTCTTCTATTGAGTTGCACATCTTGGATTTAAACAACGATTTACTTTTTTCATATTCTTTATCTATAATTTTCTTTTTCCTAGAATCGCTAAGTAAGTAAGCGATGATTGGTGCAACAACTGGTGCTGAAGCAACGGCTATTGCAAACCCAGCATTGAGCAGAGGAAACCAAATTGGAGCAGTAGCTATAACTCCAGCTACGTAAGGAGCAATTGACTCCTCTTTATACATTTCTTCCTTTTCTGAGCTAATTACATTAGGAGTCCCCGTCCATTCATTTTCCAGTTTTTCTATTTCGGTAGAAATTTCTTTATAGAAACTCAAAATATCATCTTTAATAATCTTGAATCTTTCAACTACTTCAGGCGATCGCACTTTTTCATCTATATAACGGTCAATCCTTTCCCGAACTTCCTCATCAAGCATGTTCGGAATATACGTCACCTCCATAACTGGTAGCCAGTCTTTTGGATTAAGGATTCTTTCCTTTCCGATGTCTGATGACATGTATTCAAAACTTGTAGTTGCTTCTTGCTCAATAATGTTCTTAATAGCTGACGCCAAAAATGGCTTTTCTAAAAGTAAATATTGAAAAAAATGTTATCTCCGTGCAAAAGAAAAATCTACACAGCAGAATTTGCTTCAAAAATATATTTTGCAAGTGCTCTAATGAGTCCCCTGCTGGTTAAACCGGATGGGGCCTATAGATTTCCAATGAAGCTGTCCGTCCGTTCTTCTGTCTGTCTGTCAGTCTGCCCACTTCGGTTTCTGGACTTCGATTTCTGAACGCTTGTAAATGTCTTTCTTTATGAGTTAAAGATCAAGTTCACATTTTGTTTCACTAAATTGATTTCTGACGTAGTCATTAATGTTCAAAACGATATCGCCTTTTTTTTTTAATAAATGTTTGATTTGAAATTTGCTATAAAAAAAATTATAGAAATTCTTATAACCTTAATTACTGTTGCTTTGCCGATGTACAAATGTATAATAGATTTATAATAGTTTATTATTATTATTATTGTTATTATTATTATTATTATTATTATTATTAAAAATATTCTTTAAGATATCTTTTTTCAACTTTTTAATATTCTTGGCTAGTTATTCATACTCCTTTATTGAGAAGTGTGGCGAAAACAAAAAAGGTAATGAAAAAAATGTAGACTAATTTCTATATTATTTGATTTGAAATATATTGATTATTTTTGTAAAACGTCCTGATGCAACCCTTCTCTATATCTGTAAGCTACATATGTTTTTCCAACTCAGAATATATTTCAATTACTTTAATTTTCTAATTGGTGTCACATATTTAGGACCTACGTTGTATTTGTTTTCTGATATTTTATAAGTTTGCTTTACTTTGTGATATATGTAAAAGTTTGATACTTATGGCTGTTTTTTTCAAATATTAATCGTACTAAGAACTGTTGATAGATAAATTTATCACCAACTAAATTTGTAGTTTAAATATTGTTATTTTAGGTGATGTTTTCTTTGTTTATGCTGATAAAAAAGCTGAAAAGATATATTGTTTTAGGTTCAATCATTTCTAAGAGGGTAAAAAGAATGTGTAGACGTCATAATGTTACCAAGTTTGGTTAATTGAATAATTGATTAACGATTACACGTAGTTAAACGTCCCATACGATGTTTTTTTTCATACAATAGAAACGTCACCATATACACGTGAAGGATTTTGTTTATTAACTCAACACTCAGGGGTATTGAGCCCTGAGTGATCTTTTTCGTGTAAACATCTTCTGCCACACAGGGCTTCGATTGTTAATATTTCATTCAGCTGACCTGCAACTTACACTGAAAGTGCTGAGTGCAAGACACAGGAAAAATGCTACCCTTTTTTTATTTACTTAAGTCAGGCGCGTTAGAATCCAAACTCTCGACATCGTAGCGAGCGCTTTACCGACTGAGTTACTGTGACGGTAATGGGCAGATGAAAATTTGAGAAACAATAAATAACAAATTATTAACTCTTTGATTTTCTGTTGAGTAGTGCCTTCTTAGGAAATAGCACTAATAATTGCTATGTTTATCACAGACACAAAACAAAAGATATCGCGAGTTAGAATGTGCAACATTTCAAATTAATTTATGACACTGCAAGAAAAATCGATTGCAATTAATTTTCCTGGTTTATAATATGTATTTGGAAAAGAAAACTGTATTTTTTCTTTAAGGTATTGTAAAAGAAATATCTGATATGGACAGTCTTTCCATTTACAAATATGATTTTCAACGTATACACTGTCACGATAGGTGAAAGAAGATTAATTTCAAGAATTGGATTTTGAGAGACATTCTTGTACTTCTTATAACTGTTACTCATTAATAGTAGATTTTCTTGCAAAATAATTAGAATCAATACCACTGTGCATTTGTTCTTCAGTATATCAATTTTCGTTTGATGCTCTTTAGTCTTATTTTCTTGTTCTTCTCTCGATCTTTTTGCCAGTTCTTGTCTTGTGAGAACTCCTGTGTATACATCGTGCAAGAGTGTACAAAGGTATCTTAAAATATAGAACGAATCAAATGAATAACCTTACTGAATCCTAACATGCTTAAGCCTCTTCTGAAATAAAACCCACAGTAAAATATTTATTTAAATAATAGATGAGACCGTATTTCAAAACGAAACCAGGTTTCAAGCACCACATTGTAAAAGCATACTTTGTATTCATCAAGGTTTACGTTAACTATAGGTCCCTTTTTTGTCGTCTCTATACGGTGAAATATAGAATTTGCGCTTGAACATTTGCAATATATTAAATAGAAATTTTCTAGGTTACGTCTCTTTACATGAATGTGGCAAGTTCTATTGCAATCATTCAAAAATGTTGGGTGAATAGCTTTTTTAGTTTTTAAAAGAATTTTACTGAAATTTCAATCATAGTAACCATGGAAACATCATCTATTCAAATAATTAAATACAATTATGTTTCTCTGCACTGGTGTTTACCTGATTTCCAATTTGCAATCAATCAAATTGTGGGTGTTGATAAAACTCTATCGAAATTTAAAAACGAATTTTGTGAATAAATAAATAATAATATAAATGTATTAAAACCCATTTTTTTTATAAATCCCCAGGCATTATGAGGAAAAATTATTCTTTTATCCTTTCATCTCATGCTTGATTTCAAAATTGGCATTAAATCAATTAACATACCACAAGAACATGAATACCAAATTGCTTCACCCTTTTTCCCATGCAGTCTTTAGTAATATGATAAAATGGCTGAAAGAAAAAATATTTGTTCAGATTACCTAAAATGTTCCGTGATCCTAATGTTTTCATTTTCCTTAACCACTTTTTCTAAAGCACTTCGAAATTTCTCAAACTCTTGCGTGGATGCTTCAACTCGGTATACCTATATATTCAAAGTCTAAAATTAACTTTCCATGATCGTTTTCTCATTTACATTTTATATTATAAATAAGTACATTTTACGTAATCTGACTGCTTAGATGATCTTTCATTATAGGAATTTTGAAACTAAGGTGTTGGTATTTTTACTTAGGGAATCAAATGATCTTAACCTTGGAAGTTTGGAAGATGCCAAAAATCAAACAAATGAACGTTAATGATTTACATTCATCAATTGACTCTTATTTAGATTTTTTTTATGTTTAATAAATGAATTATGATATCATGATGCTATCATGTTGAAAATGAGTTTATTATAATTTACAATTTTTATTCGATTCTTTAATGAAATAACTAAGAAACATCTTAATTACCTTAAATTTCAATAAGGATGATTTAAATATTGCATTAAAATGTGTTTCGTATTAATTTTAATCTGAAGTAGACAAATATTTCAAAATAAATTACATTTACAACCTCATATTCAAAATTTACAAAACACAATAAGTAAAAAATTCAATTCTGTATATCTTACATCTGTAAGATTCATTTTGAAAATATTCTCTTCCCTGATTGATGGCCAGTTTCTATAAATGCTGTCTGTTACTTTTTTCCATGTTTTTTCTTCCTCATCATCATCACTGCTGTCATCCGGGTCTTTCTTGATTGAATCCCATTTGTTTGTTATAAATATAACACTTCGTGGATCAAAACAAGGCATTTCATCCTCCATTTGTAAGTGGATAATGGATTTTAGTATTTCAGGAAGCTGTTATTTATAAACAGAAATGTTTCTATATGGTTTGTTACATGATTCGTATTATACACAAATATATATTCTTTTCCCATTTATGTCGTGTCAAAGTATCTATGTAAAGTGGTAGTTTTATTTCATACCAAGTACCGTATATACTCGCCTATAAGTCGGTATTTTGGGAGTTAAATTTTAGTTCAAAAGTCTATGTCCGACTTATAGGCGAGTCATAAAAAGACAGGTATTTTTCTAGTCGGCAAATCATAGTATTCTATAATCATTTTCAACAGCTATCGTTGAACAAAGTATGGAATCCGATACATTATATTATCTATGTATTATAATATTATACATAATATATATCAGTTTTAATCTTAAGAGGGCAGTATTTATCTTTTACGATTTAAAGTTAAACTTCATTTCTTAAAAAAATAATTAAAAATTAGGGTAAAACATCATAGCATATATATAGAAATTGTCATCTGATTCTTGCGAAAAAATGGTACCGACTTATAAGCGGGTCAATGGCAAATCCCTTCCAAATAACTTAAAAAAATACAACCGACTTATAGGCGGACCGACTTATAGGCGAGTATATACGGTATTACTTTGCGAAACAGAACGAATTGATTATAGTTTCGTCAGCTTTTCAAATTTGAAAATAAAATCAAGCTACATGCGTATCAAATTTACGAATTCTACCTTGGAAGTTTCATGATATAAAACATTAACTAATAAGTTCAAGATTAAAACAATAATACACCATTAATTACAGTTTTGTCGTCTCTATATCTCTACGCTAATGCGTTCAACAGTTAGAACATTTATTACCCTGTCTCTTTGCATCCCGCCTGCACTTGCCACATTAATCACGAAGATAAAAGAAACTGCATTTGACAAGTATTTCATCACCTTCTGACTGACTTTTCCAGAGCCACCAATGCCTGGTGTATCTACTATTATTGTATTACCCTGGAAGATGGACAAAATTGCTTTATGTGGGTTATTGTTTTACATGTATACTAGTAAGTGGTTTATGAATTTGATTATTGCATTAAATATTAATAATAATAATAATATAATCATTGAAACAGGATAGCACACTTTAAACTTTTTTACATCGCCGTCATGAAAACATTTATACAGACTGCAAATTTATGTCAAGATACAAACAAAAATTAAAGCAAAGAGTTTGAAAAGAGAGTATACAATAACAAAAATACATTTTACATACGTTATATAAAATAATTGCATAAAACTAAAAGTGATATATTAGATGAGAAGTTTGATGTATTGTAATCAGTTTGAAGACTAAAAACATTTCTCATATATGCTAATTTTAAAACTTGTGATGATGGTTTTAAACTTTAACATCTTGAAATTCATTCCATATCTGCGTACAATCAATTGAAAGAAAAAGTTCTATAATATTGATTTTTTCGCTTGGTATATAAATGTATTGATTTGGACTAAATAGACAAATCTGTGGTTATTTCATATAAAGTAGCCATATTTTTCTAAAAATATTGTTTTATATCATATCATCGGAAAATATAATTGATTCAATTCATTTTAGAACGATACCTTCAAAAAGGATACTGGCAATCCAATATCAACACTTTCGTACTTTCTACTACCTTTCTCAATAGTCATATCTGTTAGAGTCTTCAAAGTATCTCGAAGAGTTTTTTCGCCTTGCTTTGTTTCTACATCAATGTCACTCATATCTTCTACCTCGACTGCACCAGTGTCTGACTCAATTTTTATTACCACCTTTTCAGAATTTCGTATTTTGCAAACAGTTGATGTGGACTCCAGGTTTCTCCCTTTGAAAGTTCGCATTCCTAATATTTTATTGATAAGAGTTGATTTCCCGGCACTTGTCTCTCCTGAAAATAGAGTTAAATACTAGAATTTATATGTTATATGTAAATTAGGAAATAACTATCGGTCGCTTACGCGTCGCCGGTAAAACTCAGTTTGCGACCGTTAAATCAGCATTAACGATCGCAAATACCAAATTAGAAGATCAGTTATTCCCATTCTAATGCAATCCATCCATTTTGATTGTTGTTTACGTCTTTTTTTGCTGAGTTTCGTGATATCAAATACATCACGGAGCATTGTTTTTTGCGTCGCTCTATTATGACGTCACAATGAAAATCCTTCACTCACGTTAATGCTCGTTTTACTGCTTCAAACGACAATGCATTAGCCAATCAAAACCTCTTTTACAAAACAATTGCATTAGAATGTATTATTAACTTCCCAGACATTGCTCTCATGTAATAAATATTAATATATGTGTGGCACATTCATTTGAACAAGTGAAACATATGTTGATAACGATCAAACTTCAAGATCAAAAGTCCATAAGCTGTCGGGAGTGGGGGAGGGGAGTAGGAGGGCATACCAGTGTTTCACAAATGTGCACACAAATCAAGTTTTTAACTTACGAAAGTAAACCAGTATATATATATTGTAGTTCTTTATTGTGTTTGTTCTATTTCAATTATAAAAAAAAGTGTTTTATTGCACAATCAAGAAGTAACAACAAATCTGAGGAACTTTTGACACTGCAAAATATTTTAAATAGAAAATAATGTAATATGCACATAACTGTAAGAAAATATACATAAATGCTTTAATATAAGAAATGAGTAGTGATCCTGAAGATAACATAGAATACATTATGTGTTTTATTTTAACTAGAGACCATAGACACTCTCCAAAAAAGTGAAGCTTTCCATATCAAATCAAAAGTTCTACAGGACTCCATGAGGAGGTATAATTGTCATTGACAACCAGAGTTGAAAAAAATAGTAAAAAACAGCTTTTTCGTCAATACGTCTTAGTTAATATTTATTCGTTTGACTATTTACCTCTTTGACTTTGTATCTTTCTGTTTTACTTATTGACAAATTATTTAAAAACTTAAGAAAAACAAAACAAGTTATACTCGTACAAAAAAGGCATCTGTTAATAATTTAAGGTGAATTGTTCATCCCTGATTCTATCAAAAAATTACATTTGCAAAAAAAAATCAAATAAATATAATGCTGAAGCCAATGCTTAATAATATACAAATGGGACTACATGTACATACTAGTACTAGATATTAATAGCTTAATTCTTAGCTTTATTGATGACAAAGATGGAAATGAATTATTTCCATGTGATGTCTAAGTAATTTTTTTCCGTTCATTTGATTTAACATAATATCTTTAATTCGATTTGTCGGAAAATTGATCAAGTTATCTTTGCCATTAATTTTTTTTTTCATTTCTTTATTTATGGACTATAATTGTGATACTAAAACTTTAAACATAATTCCAGAAATTTTAAGATAATGTATCATCCATGTATATATGCAATAAAAAAAATATCTCATTTTTATTTCGAAAGGCATTAATTTTGTCACATGTATTTTGAGCACCAATTCTCGAAGAAAAAAAAATGAACAAATGTTACGCAGAGGGAATAAAAAATCAATAAAGCCAAATTTCTTGACATTGGAAAAGGTTACTTTTCTATGCGGGACTTAAATTCAAAGAAAACAAACAAACAATGTCAAGGTGACACACTTCTGTGGTCTTAAATAACAAAGCCAAACTTAAAAAAAACAAACACATGTGCTTAATTAATCTAAGTTCGATGTAGTAATCATGTAAACAAGTGAATGATGTCCTTAGAAACTGCAAAATATTCATGTCATTTCAAACAGAAATTTTAAAAAATGAAAAAGGGCCTCTAGTTTTTTTTTTTTTTTAATTTTACAAAATAATAGAATAAATACATATATGGAGGTTTTATTAGTTGCATAGTCTTTTAGTGACAGGGTATGGGATGATACCTGGTTAGTAAATTTCATACCTGGCGAGGCGGACCCCAACAATGAAATATTTACATTTTATCTGTAGTTTATAAAATTAATGGTTTTCTCTGCTAAATGATTTATCACGCTTGTACTGTGCCTATTATGACGTCACGTTTGTGTTTGTGACGTAATACATCGACCGGGTATAGATTTACTGACAGGGTATGGATTTACAACTGACCGGGTATTATTAGTTACATAGTCATTTAGTGACAGGGTATGGGATGATACCTGGTTAGTTAATTTCATACCTGACGTGGCGGAGCCGAGTCAGGTATGAAATTTTCTAACCAGGTATCATCCCATACCTTGTCACTAAATGACTATGTAACGAATTTACCCCACCAATGAAACATTCACGTTTTATCTGTAGTTTATAAATGGTTTTCTCTGCTAAATGCTTTATCGCGCTTATACTGTGCCTATTATGACGTCACGTTTGTGTTTGTGACGTTATACATCGACCGGGTATGGATTTACAACTTACCGGGTATAAGTAATCCACTGTCTTCACGTGACAGCCTTCAACCAATCGTAAGCCTTGATTTCAAAGAAAAATCAACAGAGGTGGGGTAAAAGATATCCATCGCCTTCACGACAGACTTCAACCAATCGTAAGCCAGGATTTCACATAAAAATCAACAGAGGTGGGGTAACTTGCTTTTCCTATCATTTTGCCATCATGTACTGAAATATCATGTCATATCTGGATCATATTTCTCTTTTTATATTATTGAAATATGTTTACTCATCTGGCCATTTAAAAATGCTTGAAAGGAAATGGTATGCCATTTTTAAACTTATTTCTTTTCCTGAAATCTCTAGAAATAAAAATAAATTTAAATACCTTTACCAAGTCAATGACAAGTAACTCCTGCTGTGGAAAAAATCACTATGCAAAAGTTATTGATAGAAGTATTTATATTTTAAAAAAATGTTTTGACAAGAGAGGTAATTCCAACAATGGTCTATCCTTTCTATACTGTTGCCCCTCTACGCAGGGGTTATAAGGAAGGATATAAAATATTCTACCTTGACTAAATCAGTGCTACATTATGACGTCATAGTAGTCGAGATGACAATTTTGGAACACAAGTTTTTGTAATATTGGTCTTTAAAGATGTACTTAACCTCTAGAAAATTATTAGAAACGTTTAAACATTAGCAAAAATAAAATGTTTTCATTTTGTTATGCTGTATCTTTCTTTTTAATTAAAATCTACTACCGATGTTGTCATATGTGTACATCAAGTAACTTGGGAATTGATAATGTCATGTAAAGAGAATTTGGTTATGACGGCATGTACAAGAAAATGTAAACTGGAGTTAAAAAGGAAATATCGTGAATATTATGTGAAATTCAGATGGGGTTCTGTAAATTAAACAGGTATGCTAATCTATTTCTATCGGTTATATTCTCTTTCGAAGACAGTCAGCTATAAACATATTCGGCCTTTCCTCTGTCATTCGTGACAAAAATAATGCAACAGAACAACAATAAGCTGCATATTTCAAAAAATAAAATTTGTACAGATAAGAAGTTTGCCTTCTGACAAACTTGCAAAGTGCTGCTAGAATCCCGAGTTGAGCATGGTTTTACGAAAAATCTAGGTTCATATGTATAAAATTTAAAACATAGGGTAAGGTTTCGTGCGAATGTGGGGAATAATTATTTTACTGACAGGAAAGTGGGATTCTAGCAGCACTTTTTAGGCAAACTAGATGTTTTTCAACGATATTATTTATTCAAAGAAATTGTTTAAGTCCGGGGTATTGTTGTTCTGTTTGCTTTTTTATTAAGGAAAATTTCGCTATTTATAGAAGTCACGTGATGCCGTGGCGCGGTGGTGCACGTCTTTGCGTTAGACACTCTTTTATCTGTATGCAATAGTTAATAACAATTTACATTTATTAGCGGTTTTGGTAATTTATCAAACTTAGTTTTTCTTTAAAAAGTCTAATTTTCCAGAGAAATGACTTATATGTTTCCTTAAAATACCCGCGTAATTTCCTTGCTCAACAGACAACATACCAACTGTGGATCAGTATATTTTGACAGCATATTATTTTCATGAGATAGTTATTGACTCTTTCTGAGTGTAAGAAATTCACAAATTGTTATATTGCTCAATACGATCTTTAGAAATCGCAATATATTATTATATGCAAGAATTAATTTTTCACAAGCACACTGTTTGGTGCAATTTTTGGGAAAATAAAATTCTCACTAATAAAAAGTGATGAGCAGTATATATTTTAAATGAAATTATTTTTATTTGCTAAAAACTGCTTTACATAAACAAATGCCTATAATTACAAGTTACATTTATAACAGTTCACCAATCTCTTCATTATATCCATTTTATCTGCACACATTCACACAAAATGAAAATAAATACACACGCATTGACCATCAAATCTTACACACCCCTCCTTGATCTTCCTCCTTCATTCTTCTTAGTTCTATATCCTCAAGCTCCGACTAAGACATTTATAACTAAAGTTTATCTACTAGTATTTCCTTCCCTCATCATCTGAATATAACTGTCCATACTAGACTTTTCAGCTTTACGGTAATCACAATCTGCTGCCATTTTATTTCCCTCCATGATTTCAGGTCCTGACTTTACACCTTCCCTCTTGTCAGACTCAATACTGTTCTTAATTTCCTAAGTTTACCCATGTCTTACGGCGGCACAGTACTATGTAGCTTGGATATTGATTTTGCAATATTTTATTACACTTACAGAAAAAAACATCTAGTAAACAACACCTTGTATAAGCCATTGATTCTTAACTTTTTCCGATCAACAAAGTAAGGGTTGAAACCAACGACCTTAGGGATTTTTCTTTATGCTTATAGAAAATTTACATATCTTGGATCCACCTCTTTTACTTAACAGACAGAACCGCCATCTTGGTTTTACACCCATAAAAACTGACATTTCTAAGATCCGTCACTTTTATTTAACTGTAGAGCCGCAATATTGGATTTAGCCTTAATCAACCCTCAATCCGATTAGCAAATTACAGGTCGAAATGCACCCCCAAAACTCGTGGGTCCAAATGCTTAGCACCTCTTTATACTACTAATGTTGCTCTATTGTATTACAATACAGCTACATTTCTGTAGCAAGTGAAAAGCTGGACTTTTATAAATGTACGATGTTTGTGGTATTGGCGGTCTTTAAGCATACGCAGAAATAAGAGAGAGAACAATATTTCAGCCTAAAAGACAATTCAAACAACAAATATCACTATCAGCGCAACTAGAGTACTTTTATAAATGTAAATAACATTAAAATTTGTCAAAAATGACTTTGATGGTATAAGTTTCCCAATTGATGTTGCAAATAAAATTCATTATGAAATTCGGAAAAAAAACATTTTTTCCTAAAATATATTTTGATAAGTTTTCATTTAAATTGTATTCTTGGTTATTTTTCGCGGAAAGGACATGAAAATGTTCAATATTCCTTTTAAACGAATATCTGTGTATTACATCATATTTTATATAATTTTCCCTATCAGAAAAATGCTTCATGGTAAGTTTACAGCACATGC